GTCTAACTTCCTGGGAAAGGCAGTTTGCATCACTGCTGGGGATGAATGGGCTAAAGTCAGCCCCCTCTCCCTTATCCTCTTCCCTCCTAGGCGTCTAGGCTCCTATTAGCTCCCTGTGCCTCTGGGTTCATAAACTGGCTCAAAGTGGGGTACCAGATACTTGCACAGGGTGGGTGGTGAGCAGAAGATGGGCCAGGCCCTCTTCTGAGACCACTAACCCCAGGCCAGGGACGGGTCACATCTAGACTCCCAGTGGGACCTCCTCCACCATCAGTCACGACTAGAGACCGGCGGCTGGGGGAGGGGCGGGACTGCTCCCTCTCCCACGGGGTGGGGGGAACCTCAGCTAGGGGCCTCTCTCCCTCGAGGCAGCGTGGGACCGGCCCTACCATGCTCCCCTGACACCTGGCGCACCCTAGGGAGGGCCCCTTCCTTACCTGGGGCCAGCTGTGGGCACCTGTGGCTGTGGCCTCCTGGGGATGGACTCTGCAGGTGGCCTCCAGGAGGGCGTGCAGGGCAGCTGCCCCACTGTGTGAGCCGCCGCCGCCCGGCCCTCCGCCGCTCCCTCCCGCTTTTCTTCTGCAGTGAGGCCTGGGGCTGGTGGCGGCTTCAGACTGGTCTAACTTCAGAAAAGAGAGCCGAAAACAGTGGGATGGAGTCTGCGCGCCAGTGAGTGGAAAAACAGCCTCCCGGCGCCACCAGGCAGAGGAGGGCGGGCCCCGAGGGCGAGGGCGGGGGCGGCGCGAGGGGAGGGGAGCCGAGAGGAAGTTGAGGTGCCTGTTCCACAGCTGCTGCCTGTCCCACCGCCCCGCCCTTCGCCGTCCCTGGGCCCTGCTGGCCCCGCTCTCAGCCTGGACCCGAACCCTGCCGAGCTCCACAACCTAAGGAGACTCGGGGGACCAGCCAGCCAGGAGGGCCACGTGGGGGTGTGGGGAAGCATTGGGGAGATCCGGCCTAGACCTGCCCCCCATGACAATTTCAAGAGCACCACAACCTAAGGAGACTCGGGGGACCAGCCAGCCAGGAGGGCCACGTGGGGGTGTGGGGAAGCATTGGGGAGATCCGGCCTAGACCTGCCCCCCATGACAATTTCAACAGCACCCCACGCCGGGCAGAAGCTACCGAAGGACACCCTGAGAGGGTCAGGGGAGGGGGCCGTCAGTCCCCGCTGAGCCCCGCGGGATGTTCTGGGCCAGGCCCGCACCCTCTTACTGCCCTTCTCCCTCAGAGCGGTCCTGCCGCTGACTGGACAAACCATCCCCACGGCCAGCTCTTTGACCCATAGCTAACTCCCGGGACCTGCTTCGGATTCCTGGAGGGTTGACGATTGAATTCAGGAGCCTAGGGATGCCCCCGGGGCCAGCAGGCAGAACTCCAACTGGTGGGTGGAAATTTCAAGGCGGCAGGTTTCTGAAGGAAGCCCTTTGTAATAATCAGAGCTGCCCAGCCTGTCCCTAAAAGTGGTCATGAGCTCCCCAGCTGTGGAAGTGCACAAGATATGGGCTGAAGCGCACGGATCAGGAACGCTGCAGAGGAGAGGCCTAGGGACAGGCTGGTTGACCCTTAGCATGGAGGGAGATGACTCCAGACACCTGCCAGCGCTGCAGTGCTCTTGGTTCCATCATGGTGGAGCTGCCGAGTGCGCTGGCCTTCCTGAGCTGGGCTTGACCACATGCAGGAAGGAAAGAAAATGTACCAGGGTTTGCTTGTTTATTTGTTTATTTCAGATCCCAGCACGTGCCAAACACAGTCCCAGATCCCTCCCTAAAAGGTATTTCCCTTTATCCTCACCACAATTCTGAAAAGCAGGTCTTTTTTAAAAAATAATTTTTTCATTTAAAAGAATATTACAAATCTTATTATTTTGTTAGTTCATGTCTTTTATTAACTCAGTTACTTGTCTTCTGGTTTGTTGAAGCCGTAAGTCAGACAACATTTGCCACAATAATGTCTGTCAAAGTGGCTTGCCATAAACACTCCAGCCCGACATTCATCAGAAGGGCACTCTTGATGAAAGCGACTAATTTTGCCATTCTCATCCACCTTATAATATTTCAGGACAGCCAGCTTGACCTTCTTTCTCTTGTGCTTATTCTTCTTGGGAGTGGTGTAAGACTTCTTCTTCCTCTTCTTAGCACCATCATGCAGTCTCAACACAAGATGAAGAGTAGACTCCTTCTGAATGTTGTAGTCAGA